AGCCTATGTTGATTGTTTAAACTTGACATAAAATAATATTTTATGGTCTGCACATAATATTATCAATGATGGACTTAAAATTTTGACCTCAAAATTCAACAGCAAGTTGAAGAATTTGACACCGACAAAACTCACAAGTAACAATGTATGTAACATATTCCAATGTTTTATTTCCCTTGTAAGATCAATCAATTTTGGAGCTATTGCTAGATCAACCTAAAGTATTTAACTTTTTGTAACTCGAAAGAGGAAATCTAAAATCTTACGAAATACATATTCCGTATAATCAGCTTTATTTTTAACTGAATTAAGATTGATTGTTTTCCATTCGCTTTTGATTGGTTTCGCCAATACCATGACTAAATTATCTTAATTATCATAATTAAAATCAAATATATTAGATTTTCACCACACAGAGGAATGACCCTGCTAAAAAAAAATAGAAAAGCTAAAACTAGCCTAAGCTGGTTGGCTGGTTTTAGCTGGTTGTCCAGCCTGGTCATAGTTGGTCATTGCTGGTCAGCGTTCTGGTTTTAGAGAGGTTTTGACCACTTCTTCAGCTGGTCAGGCTGGTCTTAGCTGTCCAGGCTGGGAGACTAGTTAAAACCAGCTACTTCCAGCTTAAACCAGCTAAGACCAGCCAACCAGTTTAGGCTGGTTTTAGCTGTTTTTTTTGTAGTTTTTTTTTAAGCAGAAGTGTCAAATACGGTTTTTAATCAAAATACACAAGTGACTTCTGTGTACAGTACTTCATACATCGCTACACTTTTGACAATAAAAAATTTACTTTTTTGCAAGTACAATTTCTGAAACTGAAACCAGCACTACTTTCATGTCTCTCGTACTACTCTCGCTCTCTTGTTTTTGTTTTTTTTGTTTTTTAACTGCATGTGAAAACGATCTGAGAGGACTTCAGTGTTAATATTACTTTAATATTGTTGAAGTGTTTATCTTGATTGTTTTGTAGGAGATTTTTTCTTAGCGGGAGCTGTAGCACAATATACAAGATTATGTTGCTATAACAATCGAACGTAATCTGAAACTGAAACCAGCACTACTTTCATGTCTCTCGTACTACTCTCGCTCTCTTGTTTTTGTTTTTTTTGTTTTTTAACTGCATGTGAAAACGATCTGAGAGGACTTCAGTGTTAATATTACTTTAATATTGTTGAAGTGTTTATCTTGATTGTTTTGTAGGAGATTTCTTCTTAGCGGGAGCTGTAGCACAATATACAAGATTATGTTGCTATAACAATCGAACGTATATTGTACTTTTTTGGTTGTTGAATGTTCTGTTTTTAATTTGGTCATCTACATTGTTTTCCATATTACTGTTGGCATTATAAACTGATTTTATTCCTTTAAACAGAATTTTCCCTCCAGAGAGACATCAGATTATTTGGGGAGAATTATTTAAAAATTGGATTCCACTTAACTTTATGTCCTTGCAGCTTTAACTGATTCCTATCAGTTTGTTCAAAGCAATTGAGCTTTATCGTCGCTAAAGGCCGGTATTCGTTGCCAAGCCATGTCAAAAGACGATCTCCCTGCTATGAATTTTATCTTTTGATCTGTCCAACTGCATTGGCCAATGCTCAAGCCACAAATGCACATCAGGCATAGAAGATAACCATAATTATGCATACACATACACACAACAACTTAAAAAATCTGGAAAGAAAAATAGCTTTTGGACATAGTTTCAAATATGAAACCATTGTTCAGCCCCTGGGTGAAAATGTTCCTTTATCTGTATTTCTCTTTTCGCAAATTCAGAGCAGATTTTGATTCCAGTAGTTGTTAGACACACAGAAATGGTGCAGAGAATAAGAAAGACAGATTTGGGAGAGGCTGGATTTCTGTGATTTATGGACTGAGGTGTGATGTTATCTTCGCTGACACTTTGGAAGAAGGTTAACTGTTTTCCTCACATGTTTGAGCGAAGGGTGAAGGTGCTGCTGGGGTGTGGTGATGCATACCATTGCTTATGTCAATCCCATTAATGAAAAACATGCATGCTCCTTTTTAAAACCACAATGCCATATTGCAAGTATATACAATCTACAATTTATTTCAGTAAATTCATGTTTAAGTAAAGACACACAATGTAATATAAATCTTCACTAAAGGGTGCTTATCAAGATCTGTTGTTCTGATATAATAATTTGTAATGGGAAAAAAAACGATTTTCATTAGTGGTCGTAAACTTTTAGACCCTGCAATCTTGTGATTGACAGAATGAGATGAACAAACTCCTCTTGAACTTTCATTTAAAGTTGTATTTTTGTATCTCTTATTGCTTCTCTCTTTTTGTCAGAGAGCAGGTGGGTTGTCAAAAGTTTCTGCTTTTTTCTGTAAATATTTTGGGGAAGTAAGCCTACCTTTTACTCTGTTAATAATGAAAATGTTTTTGTTTTTTTAAAATAAAAACTCCATGTGGTTGAATATAAAAATTATTGTCCTAGACTTGATTGAAACTGAAAATGAAAAGTGGGTGCAAATCCCTTACCTTAAATAGTGCGAGGATAACTGTGCAGAGCAAACTAGTGGATAAGAGCACTCATCTCAGTAGACCCTTTTTGTGCTCCAGTGTGTGTGTGTGTGTGTGTGTGTGTGCAAATGTCAGTATAGCTTGATGTGTGCGCACAGATGTTTTTGGTACCAGTCAAAAACATCAAGTTAAAACGTTGTTTTTTGAGAGCGTTGTGCGATTCTGATAATGGCGAATGGACAGAAGAAACCTCTCTGTCTAATGCATCTTTACTTTAAAATACCTCACCAGAACAATCTCACTAAAATAATCATGATCCTCCCGTAACACCAGCTAATAAAAAAAATAAGAGTATTTCTCCCTCTTAGAGCAATATAGTCTGTTGTTTATTAATTCTGAACAGTGTTCTGATTTTAACAATCCATGTAATAAAATATTCCTACACTGAGTTGAGTGCAAAACCTTGTCTGATGAGTGATGAACACAGAGATGAGAGGAGAGGATATTAATATTAACAGACAGGTGAGGAGTGGATTGACTTTCTAATGCGTTTGATTTCAGACCAACCTAACAGCGCCTGCAACGCCTTTGTTTTAACAGATTGTAAATGGAGTTGTTTATTCTTGTACTTTTTTTCTCAACATTGTCATTTTCCATTAGGCGGATTACATCAACCTACCAAAAGGTTATGATGACCTGTCACTTGTGGTTATGAAAGGTTATGACCTGTCACTTGTTTTTGATGCATGTTCTCTGTGACTAGATGGGCTATACATGAAGTTTAGTAGTGTGGTTATGGTTATGCTGACGTCTCACCTGATATGTTGACGTAAAAACCAACATGTATTAGATGTTCAACATGTCAGTTGGACATCCTTTACACATAATCTTCCATTTCAAAATACAGATTAAGGAATTTAAGCACAAGCTTTCATTTTTGGAAAAACTTCTTTTCATCCCTGAGTGTCTTTCAGTGTGCCAGCCAGTAATTCTCCATTAGGGGCATTTAACCAGAGACCATCTCTTCGCAAGAAGAGCTGTCTGTAAATTTGCTCGGATTAAGGTTTTAATCCAGTTTTTAAAAATGCTAATGTGTGTTTTATGCCAATTAAATCCCAGTGTGTGTTTTCTTTCATGTAAGCAACAGCTATCAATTAAACGCAGTCTGAAATAGGCGTGTGGGAGATTAGCCCGTTTTGCTCAGAGCCTAAAATTATTCCTATTCACAGTTTCTTAAATTCATTTATTTAAATTGTGAAGAGCGTTTCGGAAATAACATGCTCCTTCTCGTGTATTAGACAGATCATTTGTTGATAGTTTTGAATGAAGAATAGCATATTAGACTGCAGGATGACATAACCAGATGTACAGAAGAGGGGGGGGTTAACAAAATATATAAATAAATAGATAAGAAATAGTCAGCAGTGTCTTAGTTCCACATATTCTTGAGAAAAAAAGAAACAAACAAAAAAAAACTATTGTTTAACTTCAGAAGACTTAAATATATTGCACAAGTAGAATGGACTGCTGCAATCAATTTTATGGTGCTTTTGTAATTTAATTTGTACTTTAAGAAATTATTGTATATTAAGAAAATAAACATTGGGTCTAAGTAAAAAGTGAAGAAAAAAACTGAAAACTGGTGTTTGGCTTTAGATGGCTTATTAATTACGTTGCTTTTGCAATTTTTCAAGAAAGAAAGTATAAATCAGTCCTCTTTAAAAAAAAAAAAAATCATCCATTTTATGGAAAAGCATCATCAAAAATCTAAACTATACAGGTTTTAGCCTTGGTTAAAGTAATGGAAAGCTATGAAATGAGGCGAATGCTGAGTACAGCACAAGAATGATAAGTGTCTAGAGTGATGTTTCCTTATGAGAGTGTGTTGACAAGATCGTCATCCCAGAGCACTTTGAATTTATGATCACGCGAGCAGATTTCAAAGGACAGTTGTCCAGACTAAGACAAAAGAAAAGCTGGACGCAAAGTGCTTCCAGACCTGCCACACAAACACACTCCCACTCAAACACACTGCTGCATTGTTCACAGTCAGAGTTATTCCCGTAAACTCACATTTTTCATGTGCGGACTGGTTTGAGGTAAAACGTCATGATTTATGGAGGATTTTCAACTTTGTATCTATCCTTCCCTTTTTTCCTCCTCTCTTACTTTGCTCTCCAGTCATTCTGTTGCTACAAACAGCCTTCGTTTTCCAGTTCAGAAGACGCTCATTTTATTTCACACACCTTTCCTCTATTAAAACCTCCATCCTCACAGCATATGTGGAGCATTCATTTGGATCTGTGCTTTATTAATATTGACCTAATTTTGCATGATATATTAAAGCTGTGGCTCATGGCACATCTGACTTGGAGCGTTAAGTGAGAGGCGTGCGGTGCGAGCACAGATCTGGAAAATGAGGCTATACTGCTCATATTAGCTTATGCTTCCAGACAACTAATGTCCAGGGGATGGGATAGATTAGCTGACAATTCATTATAGAGGGGTGGAGGGTCAGGTGTTTTGCACTAATTGGGCATATTGGAAAACGTAATCTTTGTAGGCTGGGTAAAATTAGCACATTATGGCTTTATTTAGATGTATGTAGTACTGGTTTTCTGCTGGAGAGCAACTGGGACATACTGTACAAGAGACTCATTCACACACACACACACACACACACACACGATATGCAGCTCTTAGCCACAGAAGTGTAGTATTTGTGCTGTGTTTAGGCAAAATTTGTTGTACTGCAAGGGAATCTTAGGGACAGTAATACAATGAGTGATTTGCATTGGCTTAGTGTAATTATGTCATTTGTAGTTGCTGTTCGCAGCAAACAGGATGTTCCCAGTTTAAAGTTCTCTTGCGGTGAAAAACCAGTCAAGTCTGTCTTCCACACTGGTGAGCTCTGATAGAGAGAGACACATCCAACAGTGCGGTTATCTGATGACTGGCCTCTTTTCTGCTTTTTGTCTCGCTCTTCCCTTCTCATAATTGTCTGTTGGAAATTTTCAATGGTAATTGGCTGATCATTCCGCCAGTGGTTCACCAGAGCTGATGTAAGGTCCTTCTCTGTGTACAGAAAAAAACAAACTAGAAAAAACTTGTGCTGGTAAAGCAGCAAAAAATTGCGTTAGGGTTTTAAGTAAGGTTAGGTTTTAGGATTTGAGTGTATGGCATGTATTCAACTGGTGGTGCATAAGAATCAACTCAAGACTTTTAACAGTGTAACAGCTATAAAGGCCAGTTCGTGATAACTATATGGATAATTATATTAGCATCCACATCAAGAGATGATAATGTCTTGTGTATTATAATCAAGGCTGCAGTTATGTCTTCTGCAGATTTAAATACTTAAGCTGTTTTAAGTCTGGTGGATTATGATTGGCTGTCAGTTGTTTTTTTCCACATTCATTTTCCATTCAAATTAGAACTATTATTAAAATTATAGTTATAGGTATCATAATTGGTGTGAATGGGCCTTATATGTTTACATAGATGTTTTAAATTTCAGTACGCAAATAGGTACATTTTAAATTTTACCATGTGGCCATTACTGTTTGTTAGATTATGAATTTTTATACTTTACATTTTTTTTTAAATTACATTTAATAAGTATTTTTAATATACAAACTTTGTCTTTTTATCTTTTTGAAATCGTAATCTTAACATGTAATCATTTTATGAGTAAAATCTAAAAAACAAAAATTGTATCAAACCAAATGCTCTCTCACACGCACAGAGAAGTCACTGTTAACCTGAAAACCTTTTGTAAAGCTTAATGAGATTTGAAGTTCATTCACTTACAGTGGGGAAAAAAAGTATTTAGTCAGCCACCAATTGTGCAAGTTCTCCCACTTAAAAAGATGACTTTCTGGTTTTCTTTTTGATTTTTTGATATAGTAATGCTGTGATTCATCTCAGACCTGGCGTGTTGAAGAACCTTCATGTTCCTGTGGAGAAAATGAATGGGAAAACACACTGCAAGCAACCCAGGCCAGCGAGAAAGCGGCTGCCCACTGTTGTGCTCTGTTCCAGGAGCCGAAAAAGCTTGATTCCTTGACAAAAAGCTCTACAGGAGGTTCATCTGCTCTGTGTTCAGTATTCAGGTGTGCGGTGTCCAGGTGTGCATTTCTTTCTGTCCAAGTGTCTGATCTCACTGTAACGAAGGATGCTCTCATTAATATTCTGCGGGAGGCACGACAAGCCATCAGGTGCGATTCTCTATTTGTTTCAGCACATCTGAGACACAGCCACAGCAATACAGTACATTTCAACCCTACCAAGAACAACTGTAGTCCTTTCATCCCTCTCCTCATGTTCCCATTGTCTGCTCAATAATGAAAAGCAATTAGGTAGGTATACAAAGCCCATCGGCCGTGCTGCCTTTTGTCTCATTTCCGTCCACATAATCCACAGGCAAATTTTTCTGTGTTTATGGAAGACGATGAGATTCTTACAGATCCTCTGGGTCACAATCAGGACAAAGTCCACCAGCCCTATATTTCCCATTTTGTCGGTGCTTATTTCCATCTAAATGAACGTGTTAGCGGTAACAGGTTTGTGCGTGAGCGTGCGCGCAGCCGGCCGTCTGAAAGCTGAAGGATATGAGAGAGGGCAGCTCAGATTGTATCTGCGGATAAATTATTCAGAGTTCAGCTTCTCTATCCAATGACCCCACTAACAGAGCACAAATTATTTAGCAAGCTGCCAGAGCGACAGCGATGCTACACACGTGAAGCACGGACTCCCTGAGCAAAACCACGGATGTGCGAGGCCACCGGGGGGGAAGGAGAGGGAGAGAGAAAGAGCCTTATACATATTCATCCGTTGCATCAGCTCGCAGATGCTCTGATTTCCCATTGTCACTAACGTCCTCGTCTCCCCAAGCAGCAGGTTAGAGTAAGGCCTTCATGAACACACTGATCTAAGAACACTTTCTATGTTTTTCTTTCCTCGACTGTCTCTCCAGCTTTGAAAGATGAGATGTACGGAGAGATTCCTGTAGCAGGTGATGAGATGATAGCAGGAGGACCTGAACTTGTTCAGGGTTGTTAAGGGACACATGCACACCGCCGATGTCTCAGGTGTCTGTTCTGTACCCAGTATTCAACACCAGCACCTGAAAGCTGACACATGCTGAGGATGGGTTTGATGGCAGACTGCCTCAAAGTTGCCACTTTAGTCTAATTATATCCTTGAATATAATAAAATCTGAATTTAATAGACTCAGTAGTGATAAAGTAGTTATTTGAGACTAAAGGAAATTGTGAACAAAGGATGCATAGTTTTAAATACTAAGATCATTTTAGTAATAAAAAAAATGTAATAGGCTATTTTATTCATTTCTACATTTTTGTAAATGCCACTGACAAAACTCATAATGTATATTTTTATATAATACAATATCAGTTCTTGGCTCATGAATCGGGCAAAATTATTGAATTTATATGTGTTTTTGATTCATTAAAAAAGAGCTGGCTCATAAGAGTCTTATGGGAATCAGACTTCACACTGCATGATGTAGATTCACTAAAAGGAACCGGTTTATAAAAGGCTTTCACTAGGCCTAGGGAATCAGACTTTACTTGTCAACACTGTTTTCAAATTACTTAAAGAATCGGCTCATAAAAGTAATATGCTTGACTTCACTGGTTGCGCTGTATGACGCTGATTCACTAAAAAGAACCGGCTCGTAAAATTCTTTCGCTCAGGAATCAGACTTCACTTGTCACTCTGCGTTCAATTCACTAAAAAGAACCAGCTTCTCAAAGTTCTTCGCTTGAGAATCTGACTTCACTCTTTGCACTGTATGTCTCTGACTCACTATAAAGAATCTTAAGAGTCAAGCTCGGAAAGTGGGACTTAACTGGTCGCACTGTATGATGTTGATTCGCTAAAAATAACCAGAAGAGTCAAGCTCAAGAATCGGGACTTCACTGGTTGTGCTGTATGTTTTTAATTTACTAAAATAAAAGGCTTATGGGAGTCATTAATCAGGAATCCAACTTTACCTGTATGGTAATACAGGGAACAACAACACACCACATGTCTTATAGCGTTTGGTAAACTGAATCATAATAAAAAAGATGTAGGCCTACCCATCTGAACTCTGCATGACCCAGGATGTGAAGAGCCCAAGCTAGCATGTTGGAGAAGCAAGCTTTGGTCCACTGATAGAATAAGCATAAACATAACCCTTAAATATCTAGTACAAAATTTAGAGTAAAAATTATCGTTTCTAACTCTCAAGTGTGTAAATTACCAATGCGCTGTTGTCTCGAGCTCAGCCGTGCCCAACACACCAGAGGAGCAAAGCAAGAAATGTGGGAGAGAGAGGTGTTGGAGGGTGGCATGGCATTAGGTCTTGATCTTATTAGCAGTGATTGGTTCTCTCAGACCTCACACTTGGTTAGGGCTGTAATTGCCTCTGGCAGGATTGGGGCTGTAACCATGGCGATCGGGGAGGAAAGGGGCATGCCTTTGTTTGTGGCAGCCGCCACATGCTGTTGTGTGTGTGGCACCAGCTTTTGGGAGATGATGGTTATAACCGTGGCGCTGCCTTTTAAAATCATTTTAATAGGCAGTGCGTTTCACAGGCATGAGCTCCGAGGCTTGGGAAAGCAACATCTCAGAGGGGTTTAGAAGTTCAGCCCAGGAGAGAAACGCGGAGGCAATGATAGAGAAAGGCTGCCACCTGCTGTTTATGTACTGAATTACTGCTGACCGGAAACAAGCGTGTACCTGGCTGTGATTATTAAACATGAATTAAGAACTTGGTTTGTCTTCAAATTTGCTAAGCAGGCTCGGCAGCTCAGAGAAAGGGGCTCAAAAACATTTAATCCGTATTTTATAGAAAATCATTTCAATAGCTCATATTGCCTTGAAGTGCCAAATGTGTCTGTAAATGCTCTGCTGCAAAAAGTATTCATACTGATTAATTTAACTTTCACTAATCCAGTCTCGATGAATTTTCTTAATTTTTTTTACATTAGGGCCTATTAAAATGTGTAAATACGTGACTGTGTAACAAAAACAATCGCGCCACCGTCGAACGTACCTTCACTTCAGCTCACGGCTGATTTCATGAACATCGTTAAGTTTGATTTAGGCAAAAGCAGTTGAATTCAGATTTCTCTCGAATGGAAGTCGACTGCCTTTGCCTAAATCACACTTAAATTCAGCTTGCCGTGCCCCTAACTGCGTTAGGTGTCTAGTTTAATTTCATTCAATTCAATAATCCCGATAAATGAAATAAATCCCTTTTGGGACACCCATCTTTGGTTAGCGAGATAATGCGAAATGAGGTTCGGAGAGAAAAATTAGGACATTATGGTTGATTGAGCTTTAACAAAAAGAGGAAATATTAATACCGAGATATCCTTTATGTTTATAATTTTAGTTTAATGAATGGGCGCATCCGTGTGGAAAAAATAATCAGAAGGAAAATTGTTCATTATGATAATTTTCACAAATTAATGTAACTTTTATTAATTTTGAAGCCTAAATACCTAAATTCCCTTGGAACTTCATCACGATATTGCGGCGCTGTTTTCCCATTTATTGCGGATTTGCCATTTCACATTTCATATAAATGAAACTGCCTCCACCTTGCAACTCAGTTATCGATTGTCGCAAAACATGACCTCATAGGAGTTCAGTGTTAATTTACTGTAATATTGTAACTGTAAATGTATTAAAAATGGCAATTTTTGTCATTTTGTATGTTGCAATGGACACTTCTAATAGAAGCCTTTAGATAATATATATTTTTAACCATGTCAAATAGTCTGTGTAAGCCAGAATAATGGTCATTATCTCAAAATAAACCCTTATCCCTTACAGCAGGGTTTAGTTGTGCGTAAACACAGCTGATGAACAGTGCATTGTCTCCCCCCTTTGTCCAGACTAAGAAACAGCACTCTCTGTCTCTTTTTCTTTTTCTCTAACTCCTCTTTCCTCTTCATCTGCATCACAGGTTGTCTTTTCCTGTAAAGGTTGCAGCTTAGGAAAGCTTAGCCTACTCTGTGAATGACCTTTGCTTTTAATATGAATATTTCTCTTTCATTATTACTATCATATAGTAAAATCTACGCACACGATCGGGCACAATAGCTCTCCTTTTCATTAGTGCAGTAAAATGCCAGCCCAGGCAGTGTAAGGGACTTCCAGCCCAGCCAGACTATTCGCTCCTCTGTCTGCCCTTGCTCCCTTAACCACCTCTTGACAATGAGAATTAATATGCGTGCAGTTCTGCTCTCTCTTCTCGCTGGAGTTCAATAGGCAACTTTATCAGGGGGAACATTATTGAGAGCTTTGCCGAGAGCTTCTTCATCACACTCACATCTGAGCCGGCCCAACACTTGTCACTGTCAATCACAAGGTGATAATACACTGAAGATTTCCTCATTTGGTTTAATAAAATCTCCGGGCTTATTTGAACTGCAGTCATTATAGCAAATAATTGCTGCATTGAGGTGCTAGCCGGGCCATAGCCTAAGGGATAAGACAAGACTATTGCTGTGTGTGGGACTCGGCTGATGCTTTTTTCCCTCCTCTTTCCTCTCCCCAGTCGTGCATATTCCAACAATGAATATTGCATCTGAATCCAGCTCTGGCTTTTCTTATTCAAACTAACATTGTTATTACTTATTATGTAGACGTGAAGTCATTCGTTCTGCCTGCTTTATGGCTTTTGCTGTCATGGCATATTTTACTGGGGGGCTGCCAATTGCAATTTTTAACTGTCATTTAAACCAAATTGCAGATCAGAATAAGCAGGCCCTTGGTGTCTCAGAGGAGACCCAGAGTGATGGAGAGGATGAACACAGGATATTTTTCATCTGCAGTTTCAAACACAATGGGCTACTGAGTGTCTGCTTTTTATGGACTCACTGTTAGTAATTTCTTTCAAGGGTGTTTTTGACTGTATTCTGCGATTTTGCTGTATTTTGTTGTCATTGGCTTTATTACAGGCTGTGTGCTGAATAGCCGAATCAATTTGCTGTGTTAGTCTTTCATTTCATTAAGCCTAGGCCTCCACTGCCTATGAATTTCTGGGGACTGATTTTTACCTTCATAGTCTCTTGAATTATTAGTCAAGGAAGAAAACAACAACCCAGCCACTCATTAGTGTTGCTTTTTTCACTTCAAACAACGGACCAAGGGAGCAAACACCTTCTGAAAGTGTGTTGGAAATCCATTATTTTAAAGTCTTCTCAAAAAAGGTGTTTTAAACAGGTCTTGCTGCGTATGTTAAAGACTAAATGGGAGCACAAAAAGACTTGCTGAATTTGAGCTCTGCTGACCTCTTAGGTCAGACCTCATTAGGTGAACTCATACATTACAATCCCTAAGAGACAGTACCACTGTTGCCTACAGAAAACTATACACAAATATTGCTATTACTATTTCACAGCAGAACATATAAAACATTCAGCATTGACTGGATGAAATTAAAATGTTCAGGCTGAAACCAGACTGTGCCACATTATTTTATTTGCTGAAGAAAGCAAACAGTAATTTTCTGTGCTGGCAACATTCTTAACTTATCCAGCTCAGGTAGGCCAGAGAGTATTTGCATTTGAGGCCGAGTGCAATCAGCTTTCTCGTGTCCAATATTTACATTTTGGAAATGCCACTGGAATCCAGTCAAATTCATTCTGTCAATGAGTCAGTGACCTTGCTTTGTTTACTGGCTGCATCAAGAAACTACAGGCCAATTACTTTTATTAGCAGACTGCATTGAAAAACAAAATGGAATCAGATAATTAAACAATAATTAAGTCAATAATTAGCTTCCACTTTCAGTTCTGGACAATGTCATTTTCCTCAATTAGGTCAATCGGTGAAGCAGTAAATTAGCCTTTTCTTTTTCTCTCTGTTCCTCATAAATTATTATTAGGCATATCCCTCAAAGAAATCAATCAATCAAACAAACGTCAGGTACCAAATTTGACAGTGCACTTACTCCAGAAGACAGCAGGAAGAACACTCACACTACTGTAGCAGGCCACCATGAAACTGTCTATATGTAATCATCTATTGTGACCGTGTAATGAAATCATCATTGACAGTTTTGATAATGACTCTACTGATTTCTGAAGCAAAAGCCTGTGTTTAGAGAGGGTGAAATTAGGCAGTCAGTAGGGGAGATTGTTGAATTACTCTGATTCCTAGTATTTGACTCCCTCTGTTGTCCTAAAGGGGACATTGCCAAATCAGTCAATCCACTTGCCAATGACTGTGCATGCGGAAAATAGATTTGCTTCTTAACTTTATTCTACAACGCTGAAGTGAAAGGCCAAAAGTATGCGTCAACAGATTTATCTTCAAACATTTCTTATAATGACTAAAAACTCGGAACTTTTCTTATTTTAGTATATGAAGAGAACTGATAGGCTACGTTACGTTATTTCTACTCCAACGGTGTTATAGTTTAGGAATATTTGATGCGTTGGTTTCATAAAGGCTAAATTTCATAAAAATGAAATAAATAAATTACATATTCCTATTTTTATAACAAGTGATTTGCCTTAAATTTAAACAATGGTTGACTGTAGGTACACTAAAGCTCGTAATAAATTGACCTCATTATGTATGAATAGCTTCCAATGAATCTGTTGAATAAATTCACATAAAAGCATGATTAAAAGGGCCAATCCGAGTTTACTACCTTGGTCTGACATGATTAACAGGGAAATGCACCAATAGAGTGCACCGTGCGTCTCTATAAGCCAATGACAGCGCGCGAGCTCTTTCTGTGCCGTCCGTCAGCGGGGAGGGTGGATACTACATGTTTTAAAAACGCGTGAAATGTTCGGAGTTTAGCACGGTAAGTTTCTCAAAGTCCGTTCTGATTTATACAGGTTTATGAACGTTTAACGTAGATATGCCCGTGTATATCGTACTGTAAACTCGAATCCACAACTCACGTCCGTTAAAACGCTCAGCTTATAACTTGAGCGGACAACATAAGAAGCAAGTCTTTTTGCCAGCTGATTTAAAACCACTTTCGCTGTACACTTTACGGCTGATGCCATTCCCACACTAATTTCCATCTAAAATGATCGGTATGTGCCGGATATTTGCTCTTTAAACGTTAACCTGGAGACATTTAACCTTGCGGATTGCTGTATTGAACGTTTGATAGGGTGAAGTGCTTGTCACTCACAATGCGAGCCAATCACCGTCTCTCACTGGTGTTTATGTCCCGCCTTTTCCTGTCAAGTTAGTTAGAGGTGTGTTCGGTATTTGCGTGAGATTATTCGGATAACCGGGTCGACGATGGTTTAGTTAACTGTATAGAATAAAACAAATAGTTTAAATCAAAGTGTTTCACATTTGGACAAGTTACCGTGTAACATGTCTTCAGCCACGTGACATTATTTGTCTCAGGTAAGTGGAACCCCGTTAGTTATGTGGAGGTTTTGCTAAATAAAGGCTAGTCTGGCCATATTACAAATACCGTGACAGTAACGCAAACTCTGCTTTAAAAACTGTTTTCACCCAGAGAACACCTCATTAAACGCTAAATTTGACTGGTCACCAAACAAAGCTTCCTGTAGTGGGTGTCAGGTAGAAATAAAGGCAATATATTTGCCTTACGAGGAGTCCGAGCTCTGGTTTCTAGTTGAGGCGGTTCGTCCAGTGTCTCAGGCGTTGACATCTGTCACTGTATAATATTACAGCTGGATTTTTCCTCACACTGGTTATAATTTTATATGAGCTATATGGCGAATTCTTGGGCCTTAGGTTAATGTCTGTTAGATCTGGCTATTCAAAACGGCAAATATTAATGACTGTAGAATTGATTGTTTTCTCTTGTAGACCAGAGGTTTTGGGGTCCATGGAAAACTTAGGAGAAGCGTTTAAAAACATGAAAATAAAGAAACAGAGAAAAATAGCGAGTATGTAACCTAATAGAAACTAAATATTTTACTAATAATTATTTACATTTCTAATATTAATTTTTGTATGTGTGTGTGTATCCTATCTATCTATCTATCTATCTATCTATCTATCTATCTATCTATCTATCTATCTATATATATATATATATCTCTCTCTCTCTGCCTGCCTTTTAAGTTTTAGAGTGGGGGAGTGGGGGGATGATAATATTGACAAATATAGACTGTAGCTCACTGAAGGTTTCACTAGCTCTGACAACAACATGGTTAGCGGGGATTGGATTGCCACCAACTGCCATAAAGCATCAGGTTGCCCATTGTGTTCTCCAAATGTCCAGGCTCTCATCAGCACTTTTTCCCTCTTTCTCTCTCGGTCTCTTTCTCTCACAGCGGATTCTTCGAATGCCACCAAACAGTGAGCAAGCATACACCCATCGAGAGCTCAATGAGTGATGAACCCATTTTGGAGCATGTCGACAAACGCTGGTCGTAAGGTGAATTATGGCAGTCCACCTATGTCTTCTCATGAACACATTTGACCTCTTGATCCTATCATTTATTTCTAGCCTATTAAACTAGCTGGTGGATCAGTTTGTGAGATTGACACACGATTTCTCACCATTTCTTCTGTCAGACAATTGTGCTGTAAAAGCAGTACTTGTGATGCAAATGTGTGAACTGGCATATTTATTAAAAATAATGAGATACTGTCTGACATTGTTAGCATATATAAACATTCTTGTGTCCTTTACCTGAAGTCTAAATGACTGTTCACAGAGTAATGTTTACAACAGGTGACTTCAATAAGAAATCACGTGGAAGGCTCAGGGTCTAAAGGTGATTTTGCACAGAGCAGCCTCTCTAAAGTCACAAGCTTTTGTAGTGGAGGAGGACCTTTTTTCCTACAGAACGATGGAGGCTAGTCCAGTCACTCAATTCTAATTTGTTTTGGAATTATGGTTTTTAATCTCTTGCTAAAGTCTGAGAATTGCAGTCAATTAGTGCTTTTGATTTGGCTAACAGTTGTTGTCCTACTGACTTGGGTGGGGTGTGGCGTGGCATCACAGCTGTCATAAAGACGTTAAAATCAGCTGTTTCTTAATAGATGCTGACTCATGACCCAACTGCTCTCTGTTTGATTTATGATCGACACTTGGACTCACTGTTAGTAATTTCTTTCAAGGGTGTTTTTGACTGTATTCTGCGATTTTGCTGTATTTTGTTGTCATTGGCTTTATTACAGGCTGTGTGCTGAATAGCCGAATCAATTTGCTGTGTTAGTCTTTCATTTCATTAAGCCTAGGCCTCCACTGCCTATGAATTTCTGGGGACTGATTTTTACCTTCATAGTCTCTTGAATTATTAGTCAAGGAAGCCCCGCTGGAGTCTGTGTTGTGGTTTTTTTTTTTTTTTTTTTTTTTTTTCTTTTTTTTCTCTTCCCCGCTGGAGTCTGTGTTGTTGTGTGTTTTTTTTATTTTTATTTTTTCTCTCTCTCTGCTGATTTATGGAAAATAAAAAGTGGAATTCTGCATAATGAATTTAAATATGGTAATTTATTAACAGTGCTAGATATGTATTGGTGGATGAAGGCATAATCGGTAAGAAAAATGTTTTCCAATTGATTTCCACTTCAACATCACATTTCACTTACTTTCAAAAGAAAAAAAATATATTTTGCATTTGTAGCATATCACTTTTCTATTTTTTTTTTTTATTCAAACAACTTACTGTTGTACAGTTTTAAATAAGTTCTTTGAGTTATTTAAGTACTGCTAGTTTAATTTACTGCATTGAAAATGTACATATTTCCTTGAAATTATGCTGGACATTATCAGGCATGTTGAGTATTTAGATGATCATTAATATGGCCCTGGAAATTTCAGATGTTTAAAACATTATTAACTATTGCAAATAAAAGGTTTCTATAGATTTTAGAACCATTAAATAAGTGTCATTTGTTTATGCAGAGATCTGATGGTGAGGAGCAGGGTGGCCAAGGGGAGCAGAGATCCAGTCCAGCTCGTCCTCCGTTTGGTAAAAAGCAGCTTCCCTCCATCCCAAAGAATGCCGTCCCCATCACTAAAGCCGCCTCGCCGGCCTCCTCTACACAGTCTGCCAATGGCACCCATGCCTCATATGGCCCTTTTTACCTGGAGTACTCGCTGCTCGCCGAGTTGTGAGTTATGCTGTTTTTATTTATTGGTTTTCATGGGTAACTGTACAAAAGACCAGGTTCTACAGGCTTTGACTAGGTTTTGGGCAATAAGACTTTTGATGTTTTTTTTAGAAGTGTTGAATAGCTCAAATGAGGCTGTGATTCTAAAACATCTCATACTTGAATATAATTTTATGATCATATACAGTAACTGAATTAAATAACAATGTCACATTTGTTATTCAGCAGTTGTCTTAGAGTTGTGTAGCAACACCCTTAAAGGGTTATCTAATTTGTTTTGGAATTATGGTTTTTAATCTCTTGCTAAAGTCTGAGAATTGCAGTCAATTAGGGCTTTTGATTTGGCTAACAGTTGTTGTCCTACTGACTTGGGTGGGGTGTGGCGTGGCATCACAGCTGTCATAAAGACGTTAAAATCAGCTGTTTCTTAATAGATGCTGACTCATGACCCAACTGCTCTCTGTTTGATTTATGATCGACACTTGGACTCGCTGTTAGTAATTTCTTTCAAGGGTGTTTTTGACTGTATTCTGCGATTTTGTTGTCATTGGCTTTATTACAGGCTGTGTGCTGAATAGCCGAATCAATTTGCTGTGTTAGTCTTTCATTTGATTAAGCCTAGGCCTCTACTGCCTATGAATTTCTGGTGACTGATTTTTACCTTCATAGTCTCTTGAATTATTAGTCAAGGAAGCCCCGCTGGAGTCTGTGTTGTTGTGTGTTTTTTTTATTTTTATTTTTTCTCTCTCTCTGCTGATTTATGGAAAATAAAAAGTGGAATTCTGCATAATGAATTTAAATATGGTAATTTATTAACAGTGCTAGATATGTATTGGTGGATGAAGGCATAATCGGTAAGAAAAATGTTTTCCAATTGATTTCCACTTCAACATCACATTTCTCTTACATTCAAAAGAAAATAAATATATTTTGCATTTGTTGCATATCACTTTTCTATTTTTTTTTATTCTAACAACTTACTGTTGTACAGTTTAAAAAAAGTACTTTGAGTTATTTAAGTACTGCTAGTTTAATTTACTGCATTGAAAATGTACATATTTCCTTGAAATTATGCTGGACATTATCAGGCATGTTGAGTATTTAGATGATCATTGATATGGCCCTGGAAATTTCAGATGTTTAAAACATTATTACCTATTGCAAATAAAAGGTTTCTATAGATTTTAGAACCATTAAATAAGTGTCATTTGTTTATGCAGAGATCTGATGGTGAGGAGCAGGGTGGCCAAGGGGAGCAGAGATCCAGTCCAGCTCGTCCTCCGTTTGGTAAAAAGCAGCTTCCCTCCATCCCAAAGAATGCCGTCCCCATCACTAAAGCCGCCTCGCCGGCCTCCTCTACACAGTCTGCCAATGGCACCCATGCCTCATATGGCCCTTTTTACCTGGAGTACTCGCTGCTCGCCGAGTTGTGAGTTATGCTGTTTTTATTTATTGGTTTTCATGGGTAACTGTACAAAAGACCAGGTTCTACAGGCTTTGACTAGGTTTTGGGCAATAAGCCTTTTGATGTTTTTTTTAGAAGTGTTGAATAGCTCAAATGAGGCTGTGATTCTAAAACATCTCATACTTGAATATAATTTTATGATCATATACAGTAACTGAATTAAATAACAATGTCACATTTGTTATTCAGCAGTTGTCTTAGAGTTGTGTAGCAACACCCTTAAAGGGTTATTTCACCCAAAAATGAAAATTAGCCCATAAATTACTCGCCCTCAAGTAATCCTATGTGTCTATGACTTTCTTCTTTCAGACTAATCCAGTCGGAGTTATATTAAAAATTGTCTGTGATCTTTCAAGCTGTTTCATGGCACTCAGCGGGTATTGCATGCATCAGTCCAAAATAAGTTCAATAAAAAGCGCCCATCCATAAAAAAAGTGTCTCACACGGCTCCGGGGGGTGAACAAAGGCCTTCTGTAGCAAATCAATGCCTTTTTGTAAGAAAAATATCCATGTTCAAAACGTAATCACTTTAATGTAGCTTGCGCTCACTGTTGTACACGGAAGCAGTTCCGGGCGGATGATGTATGGAGGTCGGCTTTGCGCATGCGCCGCTCAGAAGTGACAAACGCGGAAGCGCAGGGGAGAGATCAAAACAAAACAACGGTCAATAATTAGAAGTACAAAACGAGGATTTGTAAAGAAGAATGTCGGGGGATTTCGATATAAGCCAAGAGGAGACCGGTTTTCCTTTGCTCCTGTTAACAAATGTTGGTTTTCATGAGACTCCCCAGCGCATGCGCAGCACTGAACTCATACGTCGTCCTCCCGGAGCTGCTTCCGTGTAGGACTGTTGGCACAAGCTACAATAAAGTGATTGTTTTGAATATGGATATTTTCCTTACAAAAACGCATCGATTTGCTATAGAAGGCCTTTGGCCTTTGGCCATCTATGACTTGAGGGCAGGGCTGGACGATATGGCCAAAATTTATATCACGATATATTTCTTAATTTCGGTCGATACGATATAATTCTGATATCGATATGAACACCATTTTAAAAAGCCTTGTAAAAACTGCCAAGAACGCCCACAACAGATGTCTGTGCATACAAACTTATGAAACATGAATTTGCCAAGTCTATGACACCTCATATAAAACCATATAATACTTTAGAAAAAAAAAACCCGGCACAAATAAATTAATGTTCACCTTTTATTTGTATTTAGCCTTCATAGAAACAAGAAATGTGAAATCACTGTCAAATAAACATCTCAGACTCACCTTATTAATTATTAATATCTTCTAACATACCAGTCAAAAGTTTTTGAACAGTAAGATTTTTATTGGTTTTAAAGAATTCTCTTCTGCTCACCAAGCCTGCATTTTTTTTTTTGATCCAAAATACAGCAAAAACTGTAACATTTTGAAATAATTTAACTATTTAAAATAACTTTTCTATTTGGAAATTTTAAAATGCAATTTATTCCTGTGATTTCAAAGCTATATTTTTAGCATCATTACTCCAGTCACATGATCCTTCAGAAATCATTCTAATATTCTGATTTGCTGCTCAAAAAACATTTATGTTGAAAACAGCAGAGTAGAATTTTTCAGGTTTCTTTGATGGATAGAGAGTTCAGAAGAACAGCACTTATCTGAAATAGAAATCTTTTGTAACATTATAAATATCTTTATCATCACTTTTGAATTTAAAGCATCCTTGCTAAATAGGTGTTAATTTCTATAATTTCTTTCCAGAAAAAGAAATCATACTGACTCCAAGCTTTTGAATGGAATAGTGTATAATGTTACAAAAGCTTTTTATTTCAGGTAAATGCTGATCTTTGGATCTTTCTGTTCATCAAAGAATCCTGAAAAAAAATACTCAACTGTATATTGATAATCAGCAAATTAGAATGATTTCTGAAGGATCATGTGACACTGAAGACTGGAGGAATGATGCTGAAAATTCAACTTTGATCACAGGAATAAATTACATTTTAAAATATATTCAAATAGAAAATATTTCAAAATTTTACTGTTTTTGCTGTACTTTGGATCAAATAAAGGCAGACTTGGTGAGCAGAAGAGAATTCTTAAAAAAAATAAAATGACCTTACTGTTCAAAAACTTTTGACTGGTGATGTAGGACGGCTGATTATTGTTATAGATTGAAACAAATGTGCTTCAGCCAGGATAAAGAATATGAAAAGTGCTCTGAATTGCTGCAGAAAAAAAAGAGCAACAAAAACATGTTGCTGGAGGTGGGCTTACTGAAAATTGAAAAACTGATTGTCTGCCAACTTGCGGTTTCCCCGGTAACGGCTGTAATCAAAGCAGCTGTTTTGAACGCTACTTTATCAGATCAAATGAAAATGCCATCGAAACTTTTCTGAAGACAGTCGGTTCCCTTCAGAGATACATTCATATAAAACACCCGTGCCACGTTTTGATTTTGAAACGTGCAGTGCTCATGTTTATTCAACGAAATCAAACGCCACAAATAAATTAATGTATGGGAAACACTTGTAATGTCTATCGGAAATGTGTTTAAAAATTATATCACCGTTATTGAAAAGAATTATATCGCGATACATATTGATATTGAATTATTGTCCAGCCCTACTTGAGGGTGAGTAATTTATGGGCTAATTTTCATTTTTGGGTGAACTAACCCTTTAAGTTTGGCAGCATATTTTGAGGTGTATGTTTGAAATGTGCAATTATGACCATCTGTCTGTTGCAGCACATTGGTGATCAAGCAGAAGCTCCCTGGCATCTATGTACAGCCTTCATACAGATCAGCACTAAGTAAGCATGTCTTCCTCTGTATTCTGTCTGTCACAGATGTTTTCATTTTCATTTTATTTCGAACAAAGCACAATATATAAACGCAACAAATATGTTGCAATTCATTACATTTATATAGCGCTTTTCTAGGCACTCAAAGCACTTTACATTGTGAGGGGGAGCCTCCTCATTCACCACCAATGTGCAGCATCCACCTGGATGATGCGACGGCAGCCATAGTGCGCCAGAACGCCCACCACACACCAGCTTATTGATGGAGAGGAGACAGAGTGATGAAGCCAATCAGCAGATATGGGGATTGTTAGGAGGCCATGATGGTCAGAGGCCAATGGGCAAATTTGGCCAGGATGTTGAGGTCACACCTCTACTCTTTTCGAAAGACATCCTGGGATTTTTAATGACCACAGAGAGTCAGGATCTCGGTTTAGCGTCTCATCCGAAGGGCGGTGCTTGTTGACAGTATAGTGTCCCCATCACTATACTGGGGTGCTAGGACCCACACAGACCACAGGGTGAGCACCCCCTGCTGGCCTCACTAGCACCGCTTCCATGTTGCATCACCAAAGAAAACCATGTCCCAAAGACGTTATACCAAATGTCCGAAAAGAAGCGGGATGAAGCAAAAGCTTATTATTCCCACCCCATATACAATTCCATATCGTTCCAGTATATCTTTTAATATATTACCTCGGTATCTTTATATTTTTATAAATTCCTTCCAAAATGACAAATCCACAAACTTAAACACCAACCAAATGGTTTTTATCCAAAACAACCAGTCACCCCACAATCACCCATCCTAATACAATCAACATTATAACCCTCACAATCACCTCTATACAGCCACATATCCTTTTAATAAAGTGTTTTTATACAACGTTTTAAACCGTTTAATATTTATACAATGCTTTAACACCTGCTCCAAAACCGCACCCCACAAACAGAGATACATATACTGTTTAAAGTTGTTCTTATATTAATCTCTTTAAAGTTTAACTCTTCCCTAAATTTATACTCACCCTGCCTTTCCAAAAACATTTTTTGTACGTTTCCTGGAAGTAACTTATTTATTGTTTTAAACATAACTTGTGCAGTTTTTAATTGAACCAAATCAATAAACTTCAATATATTTGACTGTGGATATCCCACATTATTAATAATTCTGATTGTTCTCTTTTGTAATATACATATCGATTGTACACAGAATGCACAGATTGAGCATTCTGTGTGAAACCGCTTTCACACGGAATGCTCTTATGCTGCATTCCATTCAACTCCCAAAAGAATTTCCAACTTCCTGCTTGGAAAAGTGCAACAGAATGTGCAGTTGATTAACTTGGAACCTTGTATGGAATTCTATGTCTGTCAAAATGGGGTTGCAGTGTCACATGAATATTTTAATGTCCAGGGAGATGTGCATGATTAATGAAATCGAGTGTAATATGTTCTCACACAAAACCTATACTAGGATTGTCATTTTATTTCTTTATGCATCTACTAAACATCAGACCACAGAAATCAATATGGTCACAAGTCGGGCATATAGAAGACTCCCACACCTGTTTTTGAATGGAGCACAGCGTTAGTCATTGTTTTATTGCTTGTTTTGAATCCTCAAATAGATAACCTGTGAAATTCTCAGTGTTATATAATGGAGTTGAAGAGTTAAATTGATTTTCTATATTGCTGACTTGCTCTGTTAAGTATCCGTCAATGTCTTCTCTATTGCAGTGTGGTTTGGTGTAATTTTCATTCGACATGGCTTGTACCAAGATGGTGTGTTTAAGTTCACTGTCTACATTCCTGATAACTACCCAGATGGAGACTGTCCTGTAAGTATAGTATACAATTTCCACACATTTTTCCTCAGAATTTTGTGTTGTAACATGACAAGGTTTATGGCGAGGCATATTAGAGGTTTTGCTACGTGTTCATTCTATCCATGACTTGCTGTAATTGCTCCCTACGTTAGTTTGCTGGGGTTTTTTTATCTTGAGACCCATTTACAGTCATTGTAGAAGCTACACACACCATGAATTAGAACTGTTTGAAATGTTAGACCGTTAAATATGAGCCCAAGTTTAATATGGTGATGGTTGGTTGCTTTAAAAAAAATTAAGAAAAAGTGGCCAAGTAGAAAAGAATGTGTGCATATAGCGTCTTATGCACTATATTTTGATGAAGCAGGAGAATAGGAAACTTGCATACTTGTGGCTTTAAAATATCAAACCAAGAGTGTGTATGCATGTTCTTGGCATTTTGTTGATAAATGGAGAGAACTGCACCTCGATCCAGAGCTGTTATTGGAGTTATGACTGCCGAAACTAGTGGTGAAAGTGGAGCTTGTATTTCCTTAGTGCAATCTAAAACCAAGGAACTGGTATAGCAGAAATGCTTCCATTATACACTTAAGTGCATGTGTGCGTTGTTTTTTTTTCTGAAAATAATAACACTATATATGAGCATTTACTGCCTGTGAGAATATGATGCAGTATTATGTTTATATAGCACTTTTATACAATACAGATTGTCAAAGCAGCTTTACAGTGTTAAACAGGAAAGTAGTGTTGCAACAGTTCATTGTTGATTCAGTCATGTCATTGTCCAGGTCAGTTCAATTCTTCTCAAATAGTGTCTGCGCAATCAAGCCGACAATATTGCCAGAAATTAAGCATCCCCAACTAAGAAAGGCGACAGTGGTAAAGAATGGAGAAAAGCACCTTGGGAGAAACCAGACTCCGTCGTGGGGCCAGTTCTCCTCTGGACAGACGAAACCAGCATGGTGTATTTAATTCCAGACTACAACACAAATCAGATTGTGCAGAGAAGAGTTTGTCATGTAAAGGTCTGTTTAAAAAAAAAAAAAAAAAAAAAAAAAAATTTTGGAAAAAAAAGTTTGTCATTTAAAAGGTTTTTTAAAAAAAAAAAAAAAAAAAAAAAAAAGACTGACACATGATAAATAACTTTTTTTTTAGTAGAATTTGATTTCTATGAAGACTACAAATTTTCACCTCTTCTGGCTAATCTCTTGCTTAAATTAGCCGTAGAAAAGTCAAACTTTGCTATAGTCTTTACAGGTTTTATTGTTTTAATGCCAAATGGAATGTTGAAATACTTCAGTCTAAATTCTGTAACTGTATGATGTAATGACATCCAGGTGTGTCTAGGAACAGAATTACTGGCGACATTATCAAGTCAGAGATGTGTTCATTTTATTACAACATAGAGTTTCTTAGTCATAGAAATTAACAAACACTTAAAGGGAAAGTTCACCCCAAAATGAAAATTGTCATTAATTACTAGGGATGCACGGGCCCGATACTGGTCTCCTGTACTCGTACTCGTTAAAATGCCCCGATACCACACAGCATGTGTCAAGCGCCATATTCAAACAAAGAAACACCGACAGCAGAAAGGAGTTAAGGATGTCTACTACGAAGTATATGTATGCAATGAATATAATGTTAAACATTCAGTATTAATGCCTGTATAGCTGGTGTGCGCGAGCTGATAAACGAAGCACGTCGAGTGGATTGAGCGCAAAAAAAAAAAAAAAGACTGACACATGATAAATAACTTTTTTTTTAGTAGAATTTGATTTCTATGAAGACTACAAATTTTCACCTCTTCTGGCTAATCTCTTGCTTAAATTAGCCGTAGAAAAGTCAAACTTTGCTATAGTCTTTACAGGTTTTATTGTTTTAATGCCAAATGGAATGTTGAAATACTTCAGTCTAAATTCTGTAACTGTATGATGTAATGACATCCAGGTGTGTCTAGGAACAGAAAATTACTGGCGACATAATCAAGTCAGAGATGTGTTCATTTTATTACAACATAGAGTTTCTTAGTCATAGAAATTAACAAACACTTAAAGGGAAAGTTCACCCCAAAATGAAAATTGTCATTAATTACTAGGGATGCACGGGCCCGATACTGGTCTCCTGTACTCGTACTCGTTAAAATGCCCCGATACCACACAGCATGTGTCAAGCGCCATATTCAAACAAAGAAACACCGACAGCAGAAAGGAGTTAAGGATGTCTACTACGAAGTATATGTATGCAATGAATATAATGTTAAACATTCAGTATTAATGCCTGTATAGCTGGTGTGCGCGAGCTGATAAACGAAGCACGTCGAGTGGATTGAGCGCGCGGCGGCGCAGATGCGTGAGCTTGAGTGAATATATCTTTCTCACAGACATCACTGGAAAGTTAGTAGTTCGGTCGGATATGTCAAAAACAAGTAAAACAATGCACAAGTTACTTAACGGTATGGAGAGCGCGCACCATTCTGTTGTGTGATCTTTGTTCACTCACTTAGCACACGCCTCATTTGGATTAAAACTTAATCGTAAAAATAAGACCATTTATAGGGGCATTCACTATAAACATCATCTATTTTCAACCTTAAGCATACACGACTTTCTGGCAAAAGTGAATCTAGCAGCCTGTGTGAAATGCGCTAGGCTGTACTGTTCTGCATCAGTATAAATGCGTTGCGCGAGTTTTGCTTGCTTGAGTGTTTCTGCATTATATGAGTGGCTTTGGAATATAAATCGCAGCACGTTTCAGAGGAAAAAACGTGACTTCTATTTCTGAAAATATCACAGTTAGGAGATTTATAACGAATGGTTCCCTGCGTTATTACAGCAATGTGCGTGATTACAGTGCTAAGCCACTGCAATGGAGCAGCTCTAACGCTATTAAATTAAAGATGTACCACAGAGCAAAAAAATTAACAGTGAAAGTAACAAAAACTTGTAAAATACATATTTTAATGGGGATAATTAAGTGTGAAAATAACCGAAGGATATACAGTCAAACCAAAAATGATTCAGAGACCAGATATAATTGATTTTTTTTTTTTTACTAGTGTGTGCAGGACACTATACAGTAGTTCATTTATGTAAGTGAGGATAGCAAAATAAAGTAAATTGTGACCGGTCATACCCAAAATTCTTCATACAGTGGACTACCAGTAAAATTGATACAATTTTGGGTCCAAAAATTATTCCGACCGAGTCTGGGGGGAAAAAAATGAAGTTGAGGTTTGCATGAAGCTGGGTGACAGCATGCCCAGGAGACTACAGGCTGTCATTAAGGCTAAGGGTTGCCCGACGAAGTATTAATAGTTGTGTAAATACTGTCATACTAACAGCTGTCCGAATTATTTTTGGTTGGTTGTAATCCATTACATACCTTTCTATCAAAATTATCTAACATGATCAAGATTAATTTGTTCTGACACGGTGTAACTCTGAGTTCTTATATTTTATTACCATTTTTTAAACCATAGCGAATAAACCGTGATAATGTGAGAAATGTTGAAGGTGTCAGAATAAATTTTGGTTTGACTATCTATTTGATAAATTAAGTTAACCAACTAACATTCATTATACATACCCTTTTGGTTTCTGTATACCCAATATTTAAAAAAATTTACAAATGCAATAAAAGTATCTGTACTCTGTATCGGCAAGTACCAAAAATAAAAGTATCGTATCGGGCGAGTACTGGAAAAAGTAGTATCGGTGCATCCCTATTAATTACTCCCACTCCTGTCGTTCCAAACCCATAAGACCTTCATTCATCTTGGGAACACAAATTAAGATAATTGAGCTCTCTGACTCTGCATAGACAACTGAAATGTTCCCAGACCCAAAAATGTAGTAAAGACATCGGTAAAACAGTCCATGTGGCACCAGTGGCTCAACTTGTATTTTGCAAAGCAACAAGAATACTTTTTTTTTTTTTTTTTTTTTTTTTTTTTTTTTTTTTTTTGTGCACAAAGAAAACAAAAATATTTATTCAACATTTCATCTCCCTTAGTTACCGTCTTCTGCCATTTTGGAGAGTATCATGACGCCCAGCATAAACAGCATTGTTTACATTCAGGGGAACGTAGATGAGTTGGGGAGAAGAATTGTTGAATAAAGTTATTTTGTTTTCTTTGCGCACAAAAAAGTATTCTCGTAGCTTTACAAAATTGAATTTGAGCCACTGTCACATGGACTGTTTTACCGATGTCCTTACTATGTCTCTGGGTCTGGAAACCAGGTCTGGATTGGCTAATCAGGAGCACCGGGAGGATTCCTGGTGGGCCGGTCTGTATTTTTGGCCTCAAGGGCCGGTGTTGTCATGCCGCTGTTGTGCACAAAGAAAACAAAAATATTTATTCAACATTTCATCTCCCTTAGTTACCGTCTTCTGCCATTTTGGAGAGTATCATGACGCCCAGCATAAACAGCATTGTTTACGTTCAGGGGAACGTAGATGAGTTGGGGAGAAGAATTGTTGAATAAAGTTATTTTGTTTTCTTTGCGCACAAAAAAGTATTCTCGTAGCTTTACAAAATTTAATTTGAGCCACTGTCACATGGACTGTTTTACCGATGTCCTTACTATGTCTCTGGGTCTGGAAACCAGGTCTGGATTGGCTAATCAGGAGCACCGGGAGGATTCCTGGTGGGCCGGTCTGTATTTTTGGCCTCAAGGGCCGGTGTTGTCATGCCGCTGGGTTGAAATATGGATGCTGTCCCTAGACTGCCTGCACTCATAACAGCCCCACTCTTTTTATTTATTATTTTCTCGCAGCCCATACTATTTCCACTAGACCATATCAATAACAAATTTTCAATTGATAATTAATCATTCTTTTTGCGGAAATCATTGTTTTATTTGTGAAGAAGCCGTTTAAGGAAGGCTATAAGACCAAGCGGAATCCTCTGCCGGCTGCTCCCTTCACCGTCCGAGTTTTGATTTTGCCAAATCGGTTTGGGCCAATGCAAACAACTTATTGATCATGAGCCCAACATCCAGCAAGGAAAGGACAACATTCATTCTACCTGAGGGAAGATGTCTTTCATTGTAAGTTAATGCTGTTAAATAGAGAGAGAAAAAATAATGGCACTGAAAAAGTGGGCCGGTCTAAGGCATGACACTCCAGGGTTGAAAATGAGTCCCACTCCGGCCCTGCTGGAAACATTTAAGTTCCGTTTTTTTTGTTGTCTATGAGAGGGTCAGAGAGCCCTCTGATTTCATCAAAAATATCTTGATTTGTGTTCCGAAGATGAACGAAGGTCTTACGGGTTTTTAACGACATGAGGGTGAATAATTAATGACAGAATTTTCATTTTTGGGTGAGCTATCCCTTTAAGTCATGGAAATGTCTATTGATAATAATAGCTATGCTTAACTCACGAGCGACTAATTGTTCAAAATGTTTGGGAACACATTTTTACAATGCCCATGTCATCTCAGTTTGCTGCCACCAGAAGAGCTGATCTGTTCTTCTTTTGTTGCATTTCATTTTATTTTTTATTTTGTTTCAGAGGGTTGTTTTCGACACCCCAGTTTTCCACCCGCTAGTGGACCCGGTCTCTGGAGAGCTGGATGTGAGGAGAGCTTTCACCAAATGGAGGTCGGTTAAAAAAAAAAACCTCCTGCTATATTGACATTTTTGACATCAAGGTTGTTTTGGGAATACTTATTTTTTTTTGTGTACTGTGATAATTGGAAAAGTATTTTATTTATATAAATTTGCAGGCGAAACCATAATCATATCTGGCAGGTCCTTATGTACGCCCGCACAATCTTCTATAAGATCAACACCATGGATCCACTCAACCCAGAGGCTGCAGTGCTGTGAGTAGTGGACTCTATATTCTTTTTTTTTCAGTCTCCACAGTTTGAACTCCGCACATGCACTAAATAAAAGTGTCAGCCACTGAAGTTGCTTCTGTTTCGGTGAAATTAAGTAACCACAATATCTCTCTCATGTGCTTGCTGACATTAATTAAAACACGCACGTGAGCTAACACGCGCACATTAATTTCCTCTTAGCTGTGCCTTTCAGTAGTTAAGAGCTTGTTCTGAAGTCCTATAAACACGACTGCTTTTGCTTACATCAATGCTTTCTGTGCAGGTATGACAAAGACATCCAGCTCTTCAAAAGCAAGGTGGTAGACAGTGTCAAGCTATGCAATAGTCACCTGTTTGATCAGCCCAAGATAGATGACCCTTATGCAATAAGGCAAGTACAGCACCTTGATATTGTATTGTGAAGTTTTCCTCCACAATTAGAAATCTTATGCTATATTTACACTGGGACAAAAAAGAAAAAATCAGAACTCACATCTGACACAGATTGCATATTGTTACATGCATGTAAACAAATATTTTTATTTTGTTGGATCTGCTCTGAGCCGCTTTATCATACACCAATCTGATACCTGGACATCTGATCTATATCCAAGTTCGAACTGCAAGCCACCACAACTCGCAGCTTTTTTTTTTTTTTTTTTTTTTTGGAAACGATATTTCGGGAGCATAGAAACTTGTTTTGAGCCAGTGCCCCATGAATATTATGAATAAAATATCTAATGTTATCACCTCATATTTTTCATTAATGAGGTGATAACATTAGTGTTTTTGAAGTAAACTCACAGCTTCGCTATTAGGGGTGGGAATCTTTAGGCACTTCACGATCCGATCCGATTCCAAAACCATTCTTGATCTACATTTTTTCCTAATTCTTCTGCTGTGCAAATACAGCTTTATATTTTAACCAAAATTGCAGTTTTTATTCTTTTTGTTTATATGACAAAAAAAAAAAAGGTTGAATAGTTTGCATCACTGGATATTGTTGTTCGTTTATGTCGGGGAACGCTACGGTTCTTATTGCAATGAACGCAACTTTCAACATACAAGCTCTTTACTTTCTTTCATTCTTACATTCAGCATTAACGGCAATCCAAAAGTAAGCTTTCAACTGAACTGTATAGCTTACGTGCATTTTAGATGCTTCTATTATGCTCTCGCTTCGTCCATGCACGTTATTATATGAGTGGGTTTTTTAAAACATTAAAACTGCTCAGGCAATTTCAGTGGTAGGCAATGATACATATTCATGTAGCCTATTAAACTCCCTGTAACTCACAAACTCCTTGTAATAGTGCGCAAATATTTCTGCCCGTTTTCGCTCGTTGTCAGCCTCTGCTTTTCTGCAACGGACTGAAGCTCCGCATGAATTCAGCGCACCTTGCATTCAGCTAATAAAAGAAAAATGCTGCAATTTTCTGGTGTTTTAATATTGTTAGGGCAGTCTCCAGCTATATCTTAAACTTCTTAAAATACAGTCCACTTCAGATTGATTTTAATTACTGCATAAAAAAAATTAACACAATCTTTATCTAATTCTGATTGGGTGGGCAAGCAAGACTGTCATTTGGGTGGACTTAGCCCACCCCGCCCGTGCCTGGAGCCGTCCCCGTTAATGCACGTTTCTATTTTGATATATCAGATGTTTTGTCCTTTTCTGAAAACATAACCGACTGTGTTTACATAAATTTCGTATAAAAGTATTTGGAGATGCAAGTGCATTTAACCGCATCTGCGATTGAGCTTCAGGACATCAAGCACACGTGAAAGTCTGTCAGTATGTGAGTTTCATGCATCTTTACTGCATTCCAAACGGCATAAATTAAAGCATATCTGAAGTAAAATACTGAAATAACGGCGGGTGGAAGCACACACTGTCAAGCAATGCGCACGTGTCTCACAGTGCATATTCCGTGCAATGAAGCCCGCCGCGATTCTCTAGCGCACACCGCAATTCATTTAAATAAGTCACTGTAGAATTCTAGATCTAACAACCCGCAGAAGAAATAACTGGCAAAACAGTTATTTTTTTTTATTAGTTCAGTCAAATTTTGTGCTACAAATAAATGACAGCGTCAATGTTGGCAAGTGAACGTTATAAGCAGGGTTTATCGCATCTGTTGTGCATTCAACGGGAGTTATATAAATACTTTTACAGCCATTCAAAAGTCGAGAGTCAGCAGTTGAAATAGTTCAGTGGAATCATTCTAGTTTGGTCGGAATAAATGTAAATGCAGATATTGAGTACAGGCAAGACAAAAATCTGTCAAAAGATTGGATTTGTGCATTAAGCCTTAGTGTAAATATAGCCTAACTATTTGAAACTTGGATTCGTTTGTGAAAATGAAACCAGGAGTTTTAGTTCAGTGGGGTTAAAAGTTCAGTGTTGAGTCATCGGACTGGACTTCGGCTCATTTGTTTTTTCGCGTCTGATGTTTGGGTTTTCTCTCTGCAGCTTCTCTCCGTGGAATCCAGTGGTGCATGAAGAGGCAAAAGAGAAGATGTTTGCACATAAAGTGAGTGTGTGACGCTCCCCTGACTGCTCCCCACAACCAAGTAAAAACTGGCTTCTTCCTGGTATTTGATGCATGTCTTGTTTTAGTGTGTGTGTGTGTGTGTGTGTGGGGAGAACATGGTTTCCTTTTCTGTTTCCTGTTGTCTTTTTCTACTCTACATGCTTGTGGGTTGGTTAGAATGTGAATTGTTGTGAAAATTTAATTACACCCTTAGTGATTGTGACCAATGGTCTTCTCGTGTTGTTGTAGCGGCGGCCAGAGGATTATAACAAAGGACTGCCGGTGTCTGGGCTGTCTTGGGTGAAGCCTGGTTCTACTCAGCCTTTCAGCAAAGAGGACAACCCCCTTCAGACTTGAACATTCAGTGCTTCAGTCTGTCAACCAAGGAGGGGCGCTACGCTACTGTGGCTGCGTCGAACCGCATATATAGAATACTGATGCAGTTCTATGAACTTCATCTTCATTCGCAAAACCCTCGCTCAGCTTTAAAAGAAAACTGTTTTAAACCGCTATAATGGCTTAAGAATTATAGACCTGTTCCCAGTATAGATCTAAAGACCCCACTCGTTCATTTCAGTGCTGAGGCTTGAACGCACAGACAACACGGTGATGGTTCTAGTCAGTACCGTTACTTGCACATGTTAATGTTTTCAGGCACTACAAACCACCTCACTTATTTGTGTAGGTCATGCTCTTCTAATTGATAAACTTGGTTTTCGAACTAATAATTTGATGGATTTAATACATTTCCCCCATTATTTTCTTTTCCCTACAAACTTGGTTAAGTTATTTCAAACATACATTTGCAGACTGGGACAGAACGCTTTGATTTTGCGTCTTGATGTATTTGGGTTGAGGTTGTTTTTTGTGCGTGTAATATCCTGTGTATGAAATGGTTTTAATGTAAAATACAGAGCAAGCCAAATACTACTCATTAAGACACCAAGTTAATCCTTATTGTTCAGTAATGTTATAAATTTTTATTGTGTCCTGACTCCTAACGGTTTGATCTAAATGGGTTTGATGTGTAAATAGTGGAGCAGTTCAATGAAATGAATGACCTCTATAGAGTCCATAGCTCTCATTTATTTATCTAGAAATTTACGATGGTTTAAATTTGAGAAATTTTGCTGTTTTACAATGCTTTTTTTTTTTAAAGTTTATTTTGGACATTTTCAGTAAGAATACTGATGTGAGCTCAGCTGTGTAAGTAATGTAAGTGGTTTTTTTTTTTAATAATTTTTTTTTTTTTTATAACCGTTATAAGCAAATAAATGCGTAAACAATGAAACTGATCTGATTTTTGTATTTAGTGGATAGATTTTTGCAGTAAAATGTGTGTAACCCTGGACCACAAAACCAGTCATAAGTAGCACTGGAATATTTGTAGCAATAGCCAACAATATGTTGTCTGGGTCAAAATGAATGATTTTTTCTTTTATGCCAAAAATGATTAGGATATTAAGTAAAGATCATGTTTCACGAATATATTTGGTAAATTTCCGTCCTCTCAAAACTTAATTTTTGCTTTGCCTAAGGACTTCATTTGGACAGCTTTCAAGGTGATTTTCTCAATGTTTTACATTTTTGCGCCCTCCGATTCCAGATTTTCAAATAGTTGTATCTCAGCCAAATATTGTTCTATCCGAACAAATCATACGTCAATGGAAAGCGTATTTATTCCGCTTAATTCTGATGATGAATCTCAATTCAAAAAAACAAATTGACCCATATGACTGGTTTTGTGGGCCAGGGTCACTTTTATTGTGTCCTTACACACACACATACTCTCAGCATTTCTAATATTGTTCTCTGATTATAAATTGGTGCTAGATAAAAAAGTCATTTTGCTTATTGATTTATGCACATTTTCTATTTGACATGCTCCAGTTTCTGCTGGATTTGTCATGTCAGTGTTTACAAGAAGCAGTTCCCAAAAGATCCACCAGAGGTGATCAAATATCAGAGGCACCGGCAGCAACGTTTCCCCACTTCTCTCCTCCCACTGCTTCCACTACCATAGGCTGATTCACAGGCGAAGTAAAACCCTCGCTGATTGGCTGACGCCCCGGCACGGCCATCTTGTTTGTTGAACGCTCTAACTTCACGTTCTGCGTTCAGTACGCTCATGTTACAGATTACGAGTAACATTTTAAGGACACGATATGGATCTTTGCTAAAACTCAACTTGCGGACCCGAACGGGCGTCCCACTTAGTCCAAACACATGGATTCAACTTCGACCAATCACAGAGGACGTAACACTTACGCAAATGTGCGTTTATCATCATCCTACGTCAGCAGCGCTGGAACCGCTGAGGTCGCCCAGCCGCGATATTAACAACGCCAAAAACTTCGCTAGTTTATCTCTCCGTAAATGATCACGCTGTCACCGCGGGATTTAGCTTCGTTTGGGTAAGTTCGTTTATTTGTTTCCTCTCCTAGGCTAACGATAATGTAGATGGTTACAGAGTGCGACAGTGCTGAAACTCAGGTGGCTGTCAGACCTCATGTGCGAGAGAGAGAGACAGAGAGAGAGAGAGAGAGAGACTGAAGGGAATCCCAGTCTGGGTGAAACAAACACGCAGCACCTGAGCTCGGGTAGACGGTCACGATATGAGCTCCGCGTGAGAGGCACGACATGGACAGCACTGTGTTTCCAGCAAACGGTGGTTCTGAACTAACAGCGAGCGAGCGAGCGCACCTCAGAAAGTAGACCAGAGTGCCGTCTCCGGACGAACGTAACAGGAAAATAACAGTTTGTATTTCAAGGATTATCATGTTCCTTCGCTGTCGTGGCCAAATATGAAGAGGACACGCATTTAAAGTTGGAAATGCTGTGCTTGCAAGGCTGAAGCGCAGGTGCCAGGTGATGTTCCGGAAGGTACGGTGGTTTCATCTGTACTGGAGTGTAGTTTTTGGCTGTGAAGACTGGTAGGATTACACTCTTGACCACTGGAAGATGGTATGAAGTAATATTAAGTCATAAACATGCTGAGGTTTCTGACCTTCTGAAGTACTGTGGTATTACCATGATATATGGGTGATATATTCTTCAGTTAGACACTTTTGACTGCTTTGAGAGCTTGTAAAGTGACCTTTTCAAATAATGACATGTCACTGACTCAGATCAGGATGGAAAAATTGTACATTAAAAAAAAAAAAAACATTGCTTTCAGCCTGATGGTAATAACACAATGTTTTTTAATTTTATGAAAAAATACACTTAACATACACTTTAATTAATTAAAAAGTTTTGTAGGAAAACGTGCAAAGTAGCTTTTTTTTTTTAAAGAGAGGTTGAAGGGTCTGGATAGGCAACAGGTCCAAAATGGGGGGAAAAAGGTAATTAAAGTTTATTATAAAATATTATGTTTAAAACCTACTGCGTCCTTTAAAATTATACAACAACAAAAATCATTGGGTTGTTTTTTTTTCAGAATAACCCCAGGTGACAGAAAACCTCTCCTAACTGTGGAATAAGCCCGTATGTATTTGTGTTGAAGGTTACCATTTTCATGTACATTTACAGAAAACCTGCTAGTACCATTGTACTTTATTGTTTGTGAGACCTCCAGAGCTCAGTTAGATGTTCTTCTGTTCAACAGTGTGTTTGTTTCTGCCATGTGTAGGTAAACCTACACATGGCAAACCTACTTATCTAAATGCAACTCACCTTAGTTACATAGACTGCAGCGATCATGTGCTCTAATGCTCTGCTTTCCTGGGGAACCCAACTGGTTTTCTTCAGAAACACATGGCTTCTATGTTTCACTGGACCACTAGTTTATAATCTGCAGATATTCATTGTTAGTTTCAGCTCTGTATACAGAACTGTGTGCAGGTCTGTATGACATAAGACTGTGTGCATATTAGTTCTGCCCGTAGTTTCAAACTACAGGTTGAGTATGTAAAGTCTGGCCAGGGAAGATGCTGGGACTCCAGAAAGTGTTGCTTGCATTTAGCTTTCAAAATGTGCGGAGGCCTTGAGTTGGTCATTTGATGCGCATGAAAATCAAGGCATCTGCACATCTCGTCAGTAAAGCAGGTTCCGTGATTAGTAGTAAGTCTCCATCACCTGCTTTCAGATGGAGTGGCATTTAATACACAGAGCCGTAGTTCACTGACAAGCTAGGCAATATCGCGTTCATAATCGCAGATGAAATCGCATTAGATTATGAACGCGATATTGCCTAGCTTGTGAGTGAACTACGGCTCTGTGTAGTAAATGGCGCTCCATCTGAAAGCAGGTGATGGAGATTTACTACTAATCATGGAACCGGCTTTACTGACGAGATGCGCTTGACAATTGCATGCGATTAATTGCACAGCCCTACTTGAGTGCATTGAAACGGGCTGTCCCCACAGACCGTGTACAACAACTTTTTTTTACATGTCTACTTTTGACTTGACACGGCAAGTCAAATGCAGTGCCTGTGATGTCTGTCTATTGCTGTTTACATAAAAAATTATTCAAAAAACAGATGGACACAAGAAAGCATCCTGTGTGAATGCCCCTTAAGTCACTTTGGATAAAAGTGTCTATAAGTGCATTGCTCGCATAAATACATTCGACACTGAAATAAATGTATGTATGTATGTATGTCATATGTATGTATGTATGTATGTATGTGGAGTGTTTTTTTGTAATTTATGTATGTATGTATGTATGTATGTATGTATGTATGTATGTATGTATGTATGTATGTATGTATGTGGAGTGTTTTTTTGTAATTTAGGGTGAGGCGTGATGTGCAGTAAACCAGAATCAACTGCTGTGACCAGGAAGTGTTGGAATTTAGAGATGCACTTCTGCTCCAAAAACAATAAACACCCCGATGCCCGTCTCTATCTGAAGTGCTGTTGAACTTGCATCAGGAAGCAAAATGTCGCTCAGTGATGAGTCAATGGAAGCTCCAGCAGGGACAGTATAATTTGAGCCCACATACATTTTCCTCTGCTTGAAAAATCATCTATGAGCATCATGAGTCATGATGAGATAGAAAATAATTGAAGTACTTTTCCATTAGTTCAAGCGAAAGTCTTGTTCAGCCAGCTTTACATTAATTCATTTATACATCATCTAAGAACTGTAACTGGTATATTGTCAGTGGCTGGTACAGAATGTGTTTATTTAATGTATTTTCAGACTATTTTTATTATCGTGGTATGCCCTGTGTCTTTTTGTGCACCAGCAAGCAGTTGTTTCTTTCGGCTTCTTTTTGTAAGGAGTGGTTTTCGTCATTCCTCAATGGAAGCAGGTGCATTATTTGTCCACTGCTATGTAAGATCTTATGTATGGTAGGGTTGGGTACCGAAACCCGGTGCCATGTAACCGGTATGTACTAGAACCGAATCAGAACGCAGATTTCGGTGCCTCATTTCGGTACCACTTAAATGCCTGAGCGATCGATTGAAATATTTGTCCTGGTTCTCCGAAATTGACGTAAGGAGCATGGGCGACGCAAGGCCATTTTTAGAGCTCTATAAACTGTACACAAATTCGTGATCGCCTCGGAGTCAGTCCCCTTTAAATTTCATATAAAACGGGGGCAGACTTCGTCTTCTCCCCGTCTTTCAGCGTGCTCTTCAATCCGCAGACCGCGGCGGCGCAGCACGAGTTTACTCCAACAGAAACAGAGGACACAAGGTGTGTGTTTATCGATAGATTGTTATAATATCTGTATCTGTGCAGCTCTTTCTCATAAATACAGTTTACAAAAGATCACGAGGGAACAATCGGTTTCCCGTAAAGTTTTCGCTGCGTTCACCCCTCATCACACCACAGCTGTTGCCTCCAGTGAAAATCTAGCCCTCAACACATATGAACGCTTACTTTATAAAACAATCATGTTGCTATTTTCATTTGAAAATGTTATATTTAAAATAAAACATATTACAGTGCATGTTGCGTACCGTACAGTCATTCACAGAACTGATTAAAGATGGTGACAGACAGCACTCATTCAATTCACTCATTTTAACTAAATATCAGAGTGACTGACAGAGATACAGTAGAAACATTATGTGTGGTTTTGTATTAAATGACCCTGAGCGTGAAATACATTTATTAGCCTTAGAGTAAGGGAAACACAACTCGGGAAATGAGAACATCCGTGGAGCATGTGAATGCTATGTATATTTATTTTAAATATTTTTAATGTTAAAGAAAAAATGTAATGTTATTTTTTTTTAAAGTATCGGTTCAGGTACCGTTTAGGCACCGGTACCGTTTTAAAAGTATCGATTTGGCACCGGTATCGTAAAAAACCCAATCGATACCCAACCCTAATGTATGGTCCACCTTTATGTTTAGAAGTATGCTAAGAATAGATAAAGGTTTGTTGAACAAGACCTCGCTCATCTTGAATTGCATCTACAAGACCTGAATAGCTATGAACAGTAATTACCAGTATAAATTAGTTTTGCATGCAGATTAAGGTTAGTCCTTTATAAAAGTTATTCTAGGACTAGACTTGTTCTTATGATGAAAGATATAAGTGAAGTCTTATTGTTGGGGGATGGGTTGTTTCTTTGACTTTTTTCACTAGGGATGCACAGTAAACATGTCAGTTATCAGGCGACATTTAAAAAAATGTGTTAGCCAATATTGGGTATTTAATGGACTCTTTTCACAGACTGTGATGGCGCGATTCATATATGATCATAACATTTAAAAAAAAAAAATTGTTTTTTTAAGGATTTAATGTGTATATTTTTGCACTATAGTTTGTTATATTACGGTGCCATTAAACAAAAAAAGCTATTAGAAACACCTACGAGGTTGTTTCTAAAAACGGCTAAGAGAGTGGCTGCAAATAAATCTTAGTATATATTTATTTTCCTCCGTAGGAAAAGTTGTGTAAATGCTTTCGTGGATTGTTTTTTTTTTGTTTTTTTGCTATTAGAGCAAATGTGAACGCAAAAATTGCTGTAGTCCCCCGTTCACCACTATAGAAGTAAAAAAAAAAAAAAATCACTAATTTAGGCTACGTCCACACGAAGCCAGAGCTTTCCCTATCCGATCTTATTTTTTTCCCCCCTCATCTCAAGAAATATCTGCTTCCACACGAAACCACAAAACCGACACAAAACGATGTAGTATACATGCCAGACCAGTATGTGGCGCTGTAATTGTGCCACAGAGATACTCTAAAAACGGAGAAGACTTGGACTATGCGCATAAACCTTGCGCGTGGTACACAAACGAACATGGAACAATACATTTATTAATCTGTGTTAATGTTAGTTAATAAAAAGACAATCGTTCAGTGTTTGTTCATGTTTTGTTGCTGTTACGTGACGTAGCGGTGTCTGACAAGAGACGAGACGTGGGCTGATGACGTCATCGTTTCAGAAAATATACGGATTCGCTGTCCACACGAAAACGCAAGGGCAGCGTTTTCAGATTTATC